GGGGGGGGGGGGGGGGGGCACAGGTCGCAGTGCTCGCACTGCGCACTGCACACCGGCGCAAACCGCGCAGCGCAACTATGGCTATAATGCTATTATAGGAGTGAAATACCTCTCTTTCTCTCTCTCTCTCTCTCTCTCTCTCTCTCTCTCAATTGTCTCGGCTTTAGCCCTCAGGTCAACTGATCATTCTCACCCGATTGCTGTCGTGGGTTCTGGACCTAACAGCTGCTGAGTACACGGCCGAATGATGGATGTAGACGCTCTAGATCTCAGTGATGCACCCTTTGTTTGTCCACACTCATGATTGGCGCTGAAATGGGATAATAGGAGTTCACAGACAAGGTGATGATTGCTGGCCTTGAGTGGGGAGTTCAGACTCGCCGGAGTCTGCAGTTGAGGCGACTGTAAGGTCATAGGGGCAACTTTATTTTGGGTTCCGGGGTTGCTCACAGCAGTGGTTGGGGGTCTACACAGGATAGAATCTATGAAGGGGTAAAATCCTCAACAAGATTATCTTATCCTTGCTCTCTTTCAGTGACCTGCTTGGAAGTGGCTGGGCTGAAGCCGCCATTATTTTGTTGAGGCAGTGGACCGTACCAAAGAAGGGAGGTACGTTGAGGATGTGCATTGACTATAGGGGCCTCAATGCCATCACCGTTAAGAACGTGGAGCCCCTACCCCGCATCGACAACCTCTTGGATAGAGTGCAGGGATGCCGGTACGTCACCAACATAGATTTGAAGTTCAGATACCATCAAATTGCCACTAGACCTGAGGATCAGCACAAAACCGCATTCTAGACATGGTACTGACTGTACGAGTTTGTGGTGATGCCCTTTGGCCTATGCCATGCACCTGGTACGTTCCAGCACGCGATGAACATGATTTTTCATGACTACTTAGACAAGTTTATCGTCGTGTACCTCGATGATATCCTTATCTTTAGTAGGACTATAGAGGATCACACTGAACACTTGAAAATAGTGCTAGGTCTCCTAAGACAACACCAGTACAATGTTAACTTGGAGAAATGCGAGTTTGGTCGCACCAAGATCTTGTACTTGGGTCATGAAATCTCAGCAGATAGATTGAGGCCGAATGATGCCAAGGTGGCCAGCATACGTGACTGGCCCAGACCTCAGACTGTTACTGAGGTCAGATCGTTTTTGGGGATGACGGGCTACTATCGTCCGTTTGTTAAGAATTATAGTACTATAGCATCCCCCTTAACAGATCTAACTCGACTTGACACCCCGTGGGAGTGGACTGAAGAGTGTGAGGCAGTCTTTAGGAAACTAAAGTATGCCCTAACACACTATGAGGTTCTCAAACTTCTTGATCCTGATCAACCCTTTGTCGTGACCATAGACGCCAACCAATATGGCATAGGCGCGGTCCTTGCGCAAAAGGAGGGGGAAAAGTTGAGACCGATCGAGTATATGAGTAAGAAGATGCCATCTAAAAAACTAGCGAAGTCCACGTACGAGCGTGAGCTCTATGCCCTATATATAGAGCGCTGATTCATTGGAGACATTATCTCCTAGGCATATTCTTCTATGTGAGATCTGACCATGAAACCTTGCCCTGGATCAAGACACAGCCCGTGCTCTTTGATGCACTCAAGAGATGGATCCAAGTGATAGACATGTATGACTATCAACTTGATCCTATCAAGGGAGAGTACAACAAGGTGGCTGATGCGTTATCTCGTCGGGCAGATTATCTGGGCGCACTAGTGACCAAATTCGGCATATCCAGCGACTTGACTCGATCATTGGTGGATGCCTATCAGCAAGATCCAGTTATGTCTAAGATCATCCGTAGATTTCAAACCAAGGACAAAAAGACTTTGGATGAATTTACGATGGTAGACGGCTTGTTGTTTCTTGTGAAGGCAGGGAATAAAAGGTTGTGTGTTCCGGATAGTGAGTCTTTCCGTAGTTTATTTTTAGGAGAGTGTCACGATGCAACTGGACACTTCGGTTATAAAAAGACTTCAGCTAACCTAGTGCAGAAATTATGGTGGCCTACTATAATGAAAGATGCAAAGAAGTATGTTGAAACATGCCAGGTTTGTCAAAGGGACAAACCTAGGACTCAGGCTCCGCTTGGGCTCCTCAAGCCCTTGTCGATTCCTGAAGGCCCTGGTCAGAGCGTGTCCATGGATTTCATGGATACACTTGTGACCAGCAAATCTGGGAAAAGATACATCTTCGTGATAGTAGACCGTTTCTCTAAGTATGCAAGACTTATTGCCATGCCATAAACTGCAAAAACTGACTTTATCAGCAAGCTGTTTCTAGAGATGCCTGCAGAATAAGAGACTTCTCAGAGGACTAACGAAGTAAAGGAGGAGGGAATGCGAGGATTTGGGTCCTCGGCAGGCCTAAGGGGCCCCCGTTGCAGTGGTGCCCGCCCTAAGTGAAGGCGGGCCTAACATATTACAAGAGGCCTTTGACTGTCAATTTCAATTTGGGGTACAGGCAGTTGCGACGCGCCAGTTGGTTGAGAAAAACACAGACCGAATAACCAAGACATTTCCACGCCCTTACGGGCCTTTCCGAAGCATGCAGGCCCTGGACGAGAAACGCAGCCCCATACACTGACAGTTGGGAGGCCCAACCAACAGCGGCGCAGTAGCTGCAAAGTAGCACGCAGCATCCTGGGGCCTACCGGAAGCTCCTGGGCCCAGTCCAAGTCCTGCCAGGCTGCGAAGCAGGTAGGCTCTTTCCATATAGGAAAGAGCTCGCCACTCTCATCCTCATTCAGGCACTCGCATGCTAACGGCAGCGCTGCTGGAGCAAATGCTCGTGGGCTGCTGCTGGCGCTGAGAGGCGAGGTGCAGCACGTGCGGTCGTGCAGGGAAGCAGGGCGCTGCTGAGGGCAGCGCCATAGCCCAACCACCATAGCTGGTGGGCTTGGACTACAGTGAGGCGCATGAGTGGTCTTCGGGTGTAAGGGAGGAAGACGTGGGTGTAAAGACAGGGAAGTGCGAAGGATGATGATGATGATGATGTGAGGGCTCATACCTTGTGTTGGCGATGGTCTGCATTTGGGCAACATCTTCAAGTACTTCGGGTTGTCGCTGATGTCAACAAATGCATTGTTTATCAGTAGGCTGATCGTAGCTGTGTAGGAGTAGGCTGGGCGCTGAGCGCCAAGTAGCAGTGTGAAGGGGCTGGACTCTTGTGTTGTTGGCGGAGAGAGAAAGCTCTCCTTGACATTGGTTTTCAGTACTACGAACCTCCATTGGTGTATTATTGGTGCAATGGTGCTCTCTGGACACGGTGTGATTATCTGGCTTTCAATGTGATGGTGTACTCTGGAATTGTCATCTCGCTGTTGCTTATTTTCCTTGCAAATTTATCAATCAATTTATCAATCAATCAATCAATTTATCAATCAATCAATCATCAATCAATCAATCGATATCAATCGATCAATCAATAATCAATCAATCAATCAATCAATGGATATGTCATCAATCTATCGATCTATCGATCTATCAAGATGGTAACTTTGATTGTGCAGATCCTCATCTGGGAGGTCTGCTCCGTATACCAAACTGTGGCATGCTCAGGTAGTGCAGACCAGAACCAAGAACTGACCTCTCACGGATGAAATACCAATAATCAGACCCAAACAATGTCGTGACACAGACTGCAACCCATCATCATCACCATCACCATCATCACACCGTGTGAAGGGAGGCCTGGCGCTGTAACACTAGGAAGAAAGCGCCAGGCTCCGATGTCGCTGCTCACATGCAAAGTCTGAATCTCGATGTCGCCAAGTCTCAATCCTCGGTCTCTCTCTCTCTCTCTCTC